TTCCTTTGACATTGTCTGGGGTACTCTGCCCCTGCAATGTAAATTCATTCCTTTTTCATGCGGTTGGTTTGGATCTGGGAGGAGGGGAAAGTGCCAGCTACCTAAAAGGCCAGCCAGAAGAGTTGCCATCTAAAAGACCAGAGACGTGATTTTAACTGACAAAAAAAGGTGTTGAGAGTAGTTAGATCATTTTTCAGGGGAGGTGTGTGGTGGTGGTGTTGGCACAAAGAGCGAGCTCTGGACTCAGCAGAAACAGCTAATTCAGCCAAGTGCCAAAACCGGTGCCAGCTCTAGATAAACTTTGCTGCTCCTCTTGCAGTTTTCATCCAGGCTTGTCCCAGTCAGCACCAGGAACTGCTGCCTGGTGCACCTCAGAAATGAAAACAGGCCAGGAGAGACTTGTGATAACGTTTCCTATGGGTTTGCTTCGAACAAGGCTGTATCTCACACCCAGAGTCCCACTTCTTTGTGCCAGTTCAAAAAGTTGGCTTGGTGTGTACATGGTCATAAATGAGAGCTGGGGCAGCCACCAACCCGAGCAGCAGGAAGAAAACCTCCCCCCTGAGCACAAGTGCTCGTGTCTGGGGTTTTGGCTCTGAAAAGTATAGATGCAGGGGGTCTGCCAATTGCAGCTCTGGATGCAGCTTTCGGTGGTCTCTATAAATACCTGTGATGAAGCATGTGCTTAACTTCCTAAGCACAAAGCTCTCCCATCCTGAGATTTGTATTTCAAGAAGAGGAAAGAGAGATACCTGGAATGTGTTTCTGAGCTGGAAAACGTGAAAAGTTATGCACAACAAGGAAACACAGCACATTTGCAGAGAAGTAGCTGGGAGGGCTCTCTCCTTTCAATCTCTCTGTCTATCAACAGAAGAGATGCTTGAAGACAGAGCCAGTCCTGAAGCCTTCATTTTCTTTTGCAGAATAATAAGCAAATAGGTTTTACCCTGTTGCCTGCAGGGAAATTGTTTTGTAATGGAAGGAGCACCCTGCACTAAATCAACAAACAAGAGAATGGCTGTGTTTGTTTTTCCATGTACTGGAGGTGAAGGTGCAGCCACGCTGGGGTTTCTTTCACATCCTCTCCACTTGACACCGGGCAGGGGACAGGCACAGACAAACACATGCAGAGCTGCACATCTACTGGAGGGAGCCTGTAGCTGGAACAACAACATCTTTGGTCTCTGCCTTTCCCTCCCTGCCTGCCGTGTCCTCCCTGTTGGAGGAGTGGGAGATGCGGGACACCTGGCATGCCTGGTGCTCTCCCCCCAGGCTGTGCTTTCATGAATGCTTTAAGCCACCAAAGGGAGCTGCCTCGGTGTCTCACTGCCCCCGGCTACTTGCTTCCAGCCCTCAGCTCTTGTGCAATCACACCAAAGCGCTCTGGTGAACGCAGCTGGACTACAACCAACCAACAACTACACAAAGGAAGCTTTTTCTAAACCCAGCTCTGTTCCTCACTCCAGTTCACTCTCTTGCACCAGGAGTGATCCTCAGGTGGCCTCTTCTGGCAGTCATGCTGGCTTATGCAGACTGGTGTTTGTGGCCCTCTGGCCCCGGGCAAGGGATGACCTGGAGATGGTGGTGGTGGCCATGCTGGCCCCAGGGCATCCCTGCCTCCCTGTGTGGGTGGCTGGAGAGGAGAGCAGCAAGCACAGCTGCGCTAATCAGGCAGAAGAAGTGATGCTGTTGGAGGTATCTAACTTACATGCATTTATATACTCATAGAAATGCACTTTAGTACAGCTCATTTCACCTAGGGTGGGCGTTTTTGCTTATTGACTCCAAATACAGAACTGCCTGTGTAATTTTCATCCATGCTACGCATGTTTTTTTGGTATGTCTGAAGGACTGTGCCCAGCACAGGCACAGTCTCTGCACTGATTTGGAAAAAACAGAGTTATCTAGCCAGACAGAGGTATTTTTTCCTCCCTTCAGTTGCATTCCAGAGACAGGCAATTATTTGGAAGTATCTCATGTGCTTAGTCAGCGCACAGGGAGCAGTTGCAAAGGCAAGGGCAGGAATGAGTTTATGTTTTAGTCCTGTCTTATATAGATGTATTTGCCTTATCCATATATTTCTAGCATGTGAACCACCAGCCCAAAACCAGGCCTACGGCAGGAATGAATGCCTTAAGAAAGCATATGTTACAGATAGCTAGCCATGTCTAGGACCCCTCATGCACAGCTCTATGCCCATATGGGCTTATGTTTTTCATATATATTTCCTGTTGGCCCTCCTTGCTCCTATCAGATATAGAGAGGTATTTCTGTGTGCATCTGCGTGTGTTCCTGCATGTGTTAGGACAGGTACAGCTGTGCCCATACAAGTACTTGTAGACACATGCAGATATATATGTGCCCCTACAGAGCCACATTACTAGTCACGTTTACATCTGCCTATATACATGCCTATCCCGCCATGCAATCAACATATACACAAGTTTGCAGCAACAGGCCAATTGTTTTGTGTCTCTCCTGAATTGCCAAATGCTGGAAGCCTCAGGCTAGCTATTGTGGTTACCCTGATTCCCAGGTTCCTTCTGCAGTTGGCGAGTAAGCGGCACTGCAAGTTTCCTAACAACTGGGATGAAGTTTTGTGTAAATCACCTTCTAGGCATTAGACTTTTCCCAGCAAAAGAGGGGGGCGGGTGTTTAGAGGAGGGAGAGTTGCTCTCTTTGATGTGGGGATTAGTTCACATGTCAGTGTTATCCCCTTTTTTTTAATATGCTGTGATTTATAGAAGGGCGGCTATGAGAGATAGCCAAGGGGACACCCACGTGGGATCTACTGACAACCACCACCTCCCAGAAGATACGCACAGCTAAAGCAGCTGGCATCAACAGAAAGACTCCAATTGCAAGAAAAGAAAGCATCACAAGAAATAACCTGTTTTGCCTAACAAATGCTGTCTAAAAATTAGGATGTGCTTTAATACTTACAGAGCAGGAACTGGTTTTCCCAGCAGCAGAAGGGGAATCTTTTTGCACATCCATAATAAAGAAATTATAAATGCTTTTTTCCTTTAAAAAAATGTTTGGTTTGTACTTTTCCCTTAGAGCACACATCACTAGTGAGAACGAGTGTGGGTCCAAAAACGATTATGCTCACTTGAAACATATTTAGCAATGCAACTGCTCCAGTCAGAGTTTCCATGCTCTCCTGCATGAATCTTTTATCAGTGCTTTAGAAAAACTTCACTTTTTGGTCAAAAGTTACATGGTTCTTCTGCAATCCAATCTTATGTCTATTAGTGTTGGAGGAAACTTTCCTGATGCTTTTCATGGGAACTGGATAAGGCTCTGACTTATTAGGCTAGAAGCCATATTCAGAGCAGCTTTGCTTAGCATATCTGAATTGTTTAGGCTTACTGCTTTGTGCAAGGGATGGCCGAGGGGCTGGCAAAGGAGACACTAAAGAATATAGTAAGAAAGATTTAACTAGCTTTTACTTAAAAATAGTCTGTATTGGTATTTTTTTCAAAGTTCTATCTGTTTTGGCCCACTTAAATTCCTAATAATAATAATTATTCCTAATAAAAATTATTTGTCCTGTTGTCTTTGAATGAAACTTTGAGACATTCTAAAAAAAAAAAAAAAAAGCAGTGGTTTAATTTGCAGCCAGATCAGGTCTTTGAGCTGAGTCCCTGCGTGGCTGCAGTGGTACTGAAGGCAATGGGGGCGACAAGACTGTGGCAGCCCAGACTTTGGAGTGAGCTGCTGTAAAACTCGACCCTAAACAAGCAGTTTTATCTTGTTACCACCGAGGTAACACGGAGTTTTCCTCGGCTGTTTCCCCTGACTCCTCTCCCACCCAGATACCCAAAGTTCTGCATTCACCTTTGAAGCTGCTTTAGGCACGGGGTCCTCCCAGCACATCAGTGACTGCTGGGGACCTTACCTTGAGGGACAGACAAAAGCCAAGCCACTTCATTGCCGCTGCAGTTCCAATGGCCTCCCACTACTCTCTAAAGCATAAAGAGGTTATTGTGTCACCCCCCAGGAACCTGCCGCTGACAACCAAAGCATGCTGCACAACTGGACATGCCCCACACAAGTAGGCTTTGTACCCAGGGTAGTAAAGCGTCCACGTTCAAGTGTGGCCTCACAGTGTGACTTCTCCCACCCCAGCCGGGGCTGCTCCCTGTGCTCTGACCCAAACGCTAATGGACCTTCTAAACCCACACCAAAAGCGCAGACAGAAGCTCCTCTGGTGTCTCCCCAAGCCGTGAGGTGCCCCTGAATTTCACTGAATTTTTAGAGTTGGAAGGGACCATAGAGATCATCTAGTCCAACTCCCCTGCTGAAGCAGGATTGCCTAGAGCTTGTCAGAGCATGTTACTCAGGAGCATCCAGGCGGGTCTTGAAAATCTCCAAAGAAGGGGACTCCACAACCTCCCTGGGCAGCCTGTTCCAGGGCTCTGTCACCCTCACCGGGAAGAAGATTTTCCTCATATTTGAGTGGAACCTCTTACGTTCCAGCTTGTGCCCATTGCCCCTCGTCCTCTCACTGGGAACCAGTGAAAAGAATCTGGCTCCCTCCTCCTTCAGCCCTCCCTTTGGGCCACTATAAAGTGACAGCAAATACAGTATTTCTCAGAAACGCACACAAAATAACGAGTTATGTGCACATGCACCCTCTCCCTCCCCCCCCAGGGAACAGCACAGTAACTCAGGTGACATTTGCAGGGACATCTTCAACCAGACCAGGTTGCTCAGAGCCCCAACCAGGCTGACCTTGAAGGCTTCCTGGGATGGGGCATCTACCTACTCTTTGGGCAACCTGTGCCAGTGTTTCACCACCCCCACAGTAAAAGTATTTTCCTTTTTGTTTTCTGCTTATTTGTTCAAATTGTCAAAACATTTGACTGAACGAATGTCAAGCAGTATCTTGAAGACAATACTTCATAGATGGAAAGGCGATTCAGTGATCTACGGGGTCTCACCTTTCACTGCACCTTCCAGAAATGGGAAATCCTCCTCGCTGGTCTCCTGGCTGTCATGTGGCAGGGTGGGCAACGCCAGCACGTCACAGGCACAGACATCACCAACTCATGTTTTCTTCTACAAACGTGTTACCCTTTGGGTGCTCAGACCTTGCTCCGTTCTCACCTGTAGTTTGAATCCCTCCTGAAGGGTTAAATAAGTTTTTTCCTTTAAATAAACAGAGAGCACCAGCTTATTAAACCCCAAACATACATTTATGCATGTATTTTGTTAATACTTTTCAGTGAGAAAAGGCATTCCTATAATATTCAGGTGTGCTCTCATCTGGGAGAAGCAGGATTTCTCAAGTCTCCTGCTTGGATTGTGTTGCAAATATCCAATTTAAGCCAAGTATGTTAAATGCCACATATCACTAAAGGGTAGACAAACCATTTTTCAGTACTTACATTTGAATGTAGAGACTGAGTCCAGAACTCAGATTTTATGATTTTGGAGGCTTACAATTAAGAATTAAACAATGCAATAAAATACAAAGCAACAGTCAAACAGCCAGCCAGTCAGGCGGAACAGCCTTACACTTTTGAATGCATGAGAAAATCAGAGAATTTGCAAAATACTGTCAATTTTATTTGGGGTTATTTGTGTTTGGTTTTGAAAGTTATGTTGGTAATGATGGAGCTTAGAACAATATGCATAGACTGTAGGCTAAAACTTTACTATGGTCTTTTCACTTAAACCCACAAAAATGCATGTATATGTTTGAGTTCATAACCAGCCTTCCCCCTCCCCTCCAGAAAAAAAAAAAAAAAAAAAAAACCAAAACTCAAAATGTATATGTTTGAGTTCATAACCAGCCTTCCCCCTCCCCTCCCAGAAAAAAAAAAAAAACAACAACCAAAACTGAAAACAAATGCTGAGTTTGATTATCCAACTGTTTGGCTTGAAGGTGCAACTGGCACGTCTTTCTGTGGGCCATGTGAAGCCCAGATGAACACCGGGCCCTGACAGCCAGACACAATTCCCATGCTTTCCAAAGCCGAGCTGCATTTCGTGAATCATACACTGTCACATGCGCGAAATCCTACGTGGAAGCAGCGGGTAGAGAACAAGAACTCTTTCTGCAGGAGATACCTGCACTCCTTCACGTTACAGCAATAGTGAGGAAATGGCTGTCACTGCCTATATATCAGAAACAGCTTTTGAACATTTCTGCTTTTCATCTATATTTAATAAAAAATCACTTCCATTTGAGATTCTCCAAAAGCGTGTGTTTTCTCTGATGTCTCACAAGCAGGAGGGATGTGAAAGAAAATATTTTGCCACCTTCACAGGTTTTGTGATGCATTAAATACCTGCACTATCATCTAGAATTTGGTCATGGAAGGCTTTAGGGAAAAGACTGTATTTTCTTTTTGATTCCCCAGTAATAAACATATTGGCAATGCCCAGTGAAGGTTAAAATTATACTGGATCATAGCTGTGTACCCTTTACACAGCCTTTAAGAAGTGATTTCCATTCCCTGCTGTAGCAATTAACCATGAATTTGGCGGTTGGGCTAGAGAAAATGAGGCAAGAGCAATTCACATTTGGTTGGAAAGCTGCAGTTCTTTTTTTCCTTCAGGTCTAAATGGCAGCCTTGTCAGACATCCACCTGGCTCCGCTGCTTGTATTTACACCTTAGGAGAGAGCTCACAGACTGGAAATGCTGGACCACATTGCCACCTCCTTAGCATCCTGCCCGGTGCAAAGCTTCCCTGGCACTTTATTAGGAAAATTCTGCAGGGGATTCATGGGGATGGGGGCTGGGGTCAGGAGAAAGCGTTAAACCTTTGCACAAAACCGGGCTGGGGGTCCAGTGACCGTGGGCTCCTTTGCAGAGTGGCTTGTGGAGACCTGGGAATCGTCATATGGGATGGGGAGAGAATGCCAGCAACGCGTGCGGGGCTCGGGGGGAGGATGAAAGGCGAACGCCACTCCGTGAATGAATTCAGAAATATGCATGCAATTTGTGAATGACTTCTTTCCCTTCACTGAACCTGCACATGAGTTCCTACAGCCACCAGTGAAAGCCTCACGATGCTATCCCACGGCTGAGAAGGTCCGTGCCGACCCCCTTGGCTCTGCCAGCCCACTCAGTGCTGCAGGGGCATCGGCCACGCGGCTGTTCCAGGTGAAAGATGCTACTGGCAGCAAGAAGAGCACTGTTGGGGCACGCCATGCACGGAGCTCCTTGCCAAGGCACCAGCAGCCGCCCTGGGGAGGAGAAGAGCGGGGTGCAGCTCTCCTGAATGCGGCAGCTCCCACTGGTGGTGACAATGCCATGGGGCCATGGGGTGCCCACGGCTGAGTGCGAGGGGGAAGAATTAAGGGTTGTTGATTTGGCAATCTGGTCCAAGCAGTGCCACCTTCATCACTCCCATGGTGGTTGGGGGTCACCTGCCCAGTGGCCGCCCTCCCGAGGCGGCTGCTGCAGTCGGACGGGCTGTGCGGGCATGTGCTTCCAAAGTACGTGAAGGGAGAGTAACTTGCTGCCTCCCCACAGCGTGTAATTTTGGAAAGATGGGAGCAGGGCATTCGCCATCTAGAAACGGTGTCCCTTCAGCTCCTCACTTGGCACGGTGGAAGCATCTTTTATTATCCTCCGGGGCTATGGCTGCAAACAAAAAATGCTTTCATTTCAGATTGGCGGCGACTCAGGTTGTGTGTGCTCTGCCTGCTTCCTTAATTACAGTGGTTGTTCACAACTTCTGCTGATAGAGACCCTCTCTTTGAGCAGTCCTCCCGCTCCCCCACTCTTTTTTTTTCCAGTCTGAACACATAACAAACCAGGACGACGTCCTCTAAAAATAAGCTCACTGTAATGCAGTGATTCCCGCCCCACAGTTATGCTGTGTTCCTCTCTTCTGTCCTCTCAGTTTGTGCTGGTGCTGTTTATTTCCTCTTTCTGGCTATAGGAACGTTTTATTTATTAGTGCTGGATTTCCTGTTGCCTGCAGCTGCCCGTGCTTTCCTCTCTCCAGCTCACTTTGCCACTCCAGCCAGCCCGTAGGTTTGGTATCCCACTGACTGAGGTGTCTCAGCAAGTTTGCTGGGTGGTGGTATTAAGCAACACTTGACAGAGGGGGACCTACGTAGCAGCTTGGGCATAAAAATCCCCAAAGAAAACAGAAGCTGACATGGGGAGCTCTCACAGGCATAGGAGGGGTCCCTTTTTTCTGACTTGCTGATGCTGAGATTATGCTTTCTTGGACGGCAAGAACACCTCTTGTTTTGCTTGCACGCACTGCACCACAGGAAGGAAGTCAGCTCCTCGAACGGTACATGGTCTGCAGGTCTGAGGGGTTCATGGTTTGCAATTATTTATATTTCAGACTGTGGGCCACATCATGGTAGAAACTTCATGCGGACTTTCCACACGTGAGGTTCATGAATGACTTCCTTGACCTTTTGTGGACATGCAACATCCTCGTAGTAAACAAAGAGATTGCTTATACGGAAAGTGAGATCATGAAGGGGAAAAAAAAAAATGTTTTGCTGCTTTGAACGTGATTTCTCTGCTGGAAGGAAAGAGGAGGCACGAGCTCTTAATGCTTTGTGTATTACCGGCAAGGCCAGTTGGAAAAGCTCACTCATCTGCACTGGGGAGAAACGCTTCCTCTCATCCTCTGTTGTCCGACACCACTTTGGTACTATTTCAAGTGGCAGAGAATAAGGTTGAAGCAGCACCTAATGGTGATATTCTCTCTCTTGTGATTTACGTGTGAGGGGCTGCCCTCATTTTATCATCTTTTCTTTCTGTTTGGTGGGGATTTGGGGCCTGAAAACTGCGTAACGAGAGCTAAAGGCGGAGTGAAGCCCAAGGCACGGAGGCAGCTGTGGCATCTTACCGCAATGCAGCCCTAGCCCTGTCAGGGTGAGATCCTTTCAGCTGCTCTTCGGGGTGGGCAGTTGCTGGCAGAGAAGCACTTGCAGGTGCAGCACCATTAGACACTTTTTCCTTTCTGTCAGATGTTCAAGAGCTGCCCAGGAACATTAAATAGGGAACGGCCTTCTGACATCTTCCAGGTAAGATGGAAATAGGAGATCCTGAGCATTTGAATTATGAAAGATCCCAGTGTGTTACCTGCGAGCCAGTGTTTTAACCCCAGCATCCTGGCCAAATCCCAGCTCTGCTAATTACATCCTGCCTATGTGAAAATTCCCCCGCGTTCGTACACCGCTTTTTTCCCTGTTTGTTTCCAGCAGCTGCCTGGAGTTGCCAGGCACAGCAAAGCGCTTGCCGTGTTTCACCCCGGGCCTGGCTGCCTTTCAGCAGGGAATGACCTGAGCACCGTGCACAGCATTTGCAGCCAGTCTGAGCGAGGGGAGCCTACCCAGGGACCAGCACTGGGGCCTTGTCACAGATCTGCGGGGTCACAGGAGAGACAGGAGGAGGCTGCTGCACTGTGATCTGATTTTTCTCCCAGCATCTCTCACCTACAAGGACTGGAATTGCCGGTACGCGCTGATCTGGTTTGGGGGGCTACTGACTTCAGGTTTGTTTGCAGAGTGGGAGATGCTCTCAGTCCCACTTACACCAGCCACCATCAATACATTTCCACCTTTACCACGCCTGGTTATGGATCAGTGTGGGCAAGGGTAGCGAAGGGAAAAGAAATAATTCAAACCCTTTAAATCTATAGGTTTGTTTCCTTCTCTTCCGCTCCATGGCTTATGTGCACGTTGCTTTTGGCTCAGCGCTGTTGGGAACAACTCTCTTCAACTGCCCATTAATCCCTGTGGTAAAAACCTGACTCATACCACTGGAGAGGAACTGGCTGATGGATTATCCCTCTCTTTTGAAGACGTGAAAGAGGATGGCTGCAGCAGTAGTTCTGGGATACTGATAATAAGAAGCAGTAAGAAATGCAGGTCACATACAGAAGGATAATGAAATCACACACATTCAATACAGGAGTGGCTCATCTGTCCAATTTTCTTGTCAGCCAAGTTCTCTCTTTGATTATGGCCCACAGTCCTGCCTAAATGTTATTTGGAAGCACATATGAAATTGTTGGAGGTACCTCCCAATAGTAGACCAACTCCACCGGCAGCAGCAGAGGCAGAGCATGCCCAAGGCAGACAGAGCAGTGACTTGCTTTCCCCCACCCCCCTCACATCCCTCTCTGATCTTTTCAACATCTTAATCCCAAGGGACAGCAGCTGCGAGTAGTCTCTCTGCTCCAAGGTTATCTGAAGGTGTGATGCCAGCATGTTTCCACTATATCCCAGAAGGGGAATTACAGCAAGCCTTGGAAAGGGAGGGAACGTGTGTTGTCTGTGGTGTAAGGTACAAAGCTGGGACTCAAAGATCCGAGTCCACTTGCCATGCTGCCCACGTGACTTCAGGCAAGGCACAACTTCTTTAGTAGCACTATCCCTGTCTTTAAACTTATATTTAGTACTTGCCTCATGAGGCTGAGGAGAAGCAGATTAAGCTTTAATTCACTAGTGTTTGTAAAAAAAATAAAGAACTTGGATGGAAATTTCCCAGGTAGTGGACAGAGCTTTAAAAAGCTTATCTCCCTCTCCAACCACAAACGGTCCTGCCATAGGAGAGATATGAGTGAAACAGTGCTTGCATTTCTGTGTTTATAATAATAAAAAACCCTACCCTCCAGCTTCCCCTCTCTATCCTTCCATGAGGCAGCAATAAGAAGTTTTAGTCTAAACAGAGTGCAGTTGCTCCCGGGAGACTCGAATGCATTTCAGTGGAATTTTCCCTGCCTTCAGCCTTTTGTGCTTCTGAAAGGTCCTGGAACCAGGCATGTGACTGTAAGAGCAAGAAACACTCCTGTGTCTGAGTGCTCTACCAAATATTTACAAGATACCTAGATAAAATGGCTACAAGCTAGTTCAGCAGGGTTTGACTGAACGGCCAGTAGTGCAGCACTGTCAAGAAGAAAAACTAAACTTTAGTTAAAACAAAATTAAAATTAAATTTTACAAAGGTCTCTTCAAAGCACAAAACTGGTAACGCTAAAGCTGGAGAACTGCTCTTCTCTAAGGTGAAACATATTAGCTTTTAAAAGTAGCCTATTGAAATGGAGTAACTTCCTTGTTGTGATGGAACCTTCCTTGTTAAAGAAGAGCCCAAAGCTTCGTGAGCGGGCATGTAGGTGGACTTCTGTCAGATGTTCAAGAGCTGCCCAGGAACATTAAATAGGGAACGGCCTTCTGACATCTTCCAGGTAAGATGGAAATAGGAGATCCTGAGCATTTGAATTATGAAAGATCCCAGTGTGTTACCTGCGAGCCAGTGTTTTAACCCCAGCATCCTGGCCAAATCCCAGCTCTGCTAATTACATCCTGCCTATGTGAAAATTCCCCCGCGTTCGTACACCGCTTTTTTCCCTGTTTGTTTCCAGCAGCTGCCTGGAGTTGCCAGGCACAGCAAAGCGCTTGCCGTGTTTCACCCCAGGCCTGGCTGCCTTTCAGCAGGGAATGACCTGAGCACCGTGCACAGCATTTGCAGCCAGTCTGAGCGAGGGGAGCCTACCCAGGGACCAGCACTGGGGCCTTGTCACAGATCTGCGGGGTCACAGGAGAGACAGGAGGAGGCTGCTGCACTGTGATCTGATTTTTCTCCCAGCATCTCTCACCTACAAGGACTGGAATTGCCGGTACGCGCTGATCTGGTTTGGGGGGCTACTGACTTCAGGTTTGTTTGCAGAGTGGGAGATGCTCTCAGTCCCACTTACACCAGCCACCATCAATACATTTCCACCTTTACCACGCCTGGTTATGGATCAGTGTGGGCAAGGGTAGCGAAGGGAAAAGAAATAATTCAAACCCTTTAAATCTATAGGTTTGTTTCCTTCTCTTCCGCTCCATGGCTTATGTGCACGTTGCTTTTGGCTCAGCGCTGTTGGGAACAACTCTCTTCAACTGCCCATTAATCCCTGTGGTAAAAACCTGACTCATACCACTGGAGAGGAACTGGCTGATGGATTATCCCTCTCTTTTGAAGACGTGAAAGAGGATGGCTGCAGCAGTAGTTCTGGGATACTGATAATAAGAAGCAGTAAGAAATGCAGGTCACATACAGAAGGATAATGAAATCACACACATTCAATACAGGAGTGGCTCATCTGTCCAATTTTCTTGTCAGCCAAGTTCTCTCTTTGATTATGGCCCACAGTCCTGCCTAAATGTTATTTGGAAGCACATATGAAATTGTTGGAGGTACCTCCCAATAGTAGACCAACTCCACCGGCAGCAGCAGAGGCAGAGCATGCCCAAGGCAGACAGAGCAGTGACTTGCTTTCCCCCACCCCCCTCACATCCCTCTCTGATCTTTTCAACATCTTAATCCCAAGGGACAGCAGCTGCGAGTAGTCTCTCTGCTCCAAGGTTATCTGAAGGTGTGATGCCAGCATGTTTCCACTATATCCCAGAAGGGGAATTACAGCAAGCCTTGGAAAGGGAGGGAACGTGTGTTGTCTGTGGTGTAAGGTACAAAGCTGGGACTCAAAGATCCGAGTCCACTTGCCATGCTGCCCACGTGACTTCAGGCAAGGCACAACTTCTTTAGTAGCACTATCCCTGTCTTTAAACTTATATTTAGTACTTGCCTCATGAGGCTGAGGAGAAGCAGATTAAGCTTTAATTCACTAGTGTTTGTAAAAAAAATAAAGAACTTGGATGGAAATTTCCCAGGTAGTGGACAGAGCTTTAAAAAGCTTATCTCCCTCCCCAACCACAAACGGTCCTGCCATAGGAGAGATATGAGTGAAACAGTGCTTGCATTTCTGTGTTTATAATAATAAAAAAACCTACCCTCCAGCTTCCCCTCTCTATCCTTCCATGAGGCAGCAATAAGAAGTTTTAGTCTAAACAGAGTGCAGTTGCTCCCTGGAGACTCGAATGCATTTCAGTGGAATTTTCCCTGCCTTCAGCCTTTTGTGCTTCTGAAAGGTCCTGGAACCAGGCATGTGACTGTAAGAGCAAGAAACACTCCTGTGTCCGAGTGCTCTACCAAATATTTACAAGATACCTAGATAAAATGGCTACAAGCTAGTTCAGCAGGGTTTGACTGAACGGCCAGTAGTGCAGCACTGTCAAGAAGAAAAACTAAACTTTAGTTAAAACAAAATTAAAATTAAATTTTACAAAGGTCTCTTCAAAGCACAAAACTGGTAACGCTAAGGCTGGAGAACTGCTTTTCTCTAAGGTGAAACATATTAGCTTTTAAAAGTAGCCTATTGAAATGGAGTAACTTCCTTGTGAGGGAGCCTTCCTTGTTAAAGAAGAGCCCAAAGCTTCGTGAGCGGGCATGTAGGTGGACAGCTGCAGAGTAGCCTTCTCCATGCCATCCTGTTTGGATGTAACATCAGCTTCCACATCCCATCAGTCTCTGAGGAGCTGCCAGAGACTTGCACTGCCACGATAAGGGTGTGCAGTGCTTTTTAATATGGGCAATGTGCTCCCTAGGAACCTTCTCAACACCCAAAGATCGCCTAGCAAACAGTAGTTGGCAAATGCCTCACTACCACAGGTGGCCCCGCTGCAGCTGATTTCCTTGCTGGATTACCTACAGCCACTTCAGCAGAACTCCAGACCTGCCATATTTCTGTACAGGTTACTCTGCTTTTCAAGTGGTTGCTCGGAGAGGCTTTCCCTGTGACTGCAGAGGACAGAACCAGCCTCTTGGGCCAATGGCAACTGTGCATCGGCAGTCAGCATTAAACTGAACCCATGGCTCTCCGTTAGGGATGTGAAGCTTGAGAGCTGGGAACAACCTGATCCTGACCACTGCACAGCAAACGATGCCTTCAGTGGCCTTGAGCAGGTCATACATTCTCTAAGTCTGTAAGGTGGGTAAATAGTTCTGTGGTTTGCAGTCACATTGTGAATACTTTAAAAGTGCTTTGAAGACAGAGGAAGCTAAGCAGCTGTAATACACACTGATCTTCCCACCTTTTGGATTGCCACCTGTTCTCCTTCCATGCTGAACTGTCACAGCCTGGCTATGAGCAACTCTGTTACATCATCTCTGATGATTTTCAAGGGAGTTAGAGGCAGAAGACCTCATTGAACTATTGCTTCTTAATCAAGCCAATGAGCGGGTTTATCATTTCTCTTAAAAAGTGGAAGTGACCATTTCAGTATGTTATGGGTTGTAGACACCAAGCACTCCTGTGTTTAACTGTTGGTTCCTCCAGACTGGTGAGGTGACAGGGTGAATTGAGAAGGCATGTGTGACCTACGCTTCTTCAGTAGCATGTCTGTTGTTCAGACTTGTATAACTACGTCACCTAAATTAACCTGAACAAAATACAGGATTTTCATAAGTTCAGAGTTAAGTATGAATTTTGTATGTTCATACTTAACATACTTACAAAGAACAGCACTTGGTTTTAAAGTTAGTCTTTGAAGAGACAAAAGAAGAAGAATGCCCACCATCTGCTTCACCGGATTTACGAAGACCAATGTTGTCATTCACTCATTTCTTAGTGGAGGTTTCATTTGTCCTTTTTATAGATTGGATGTATTGCTGGGAGCCTCACCAGTAGTTTTGTGTAAAGCAGCATCGAGTAAAGTATCTTTCAAGGCAGCACTCCTCACTCGTATGGTCTGCAGGGCAGGATTGGTTCCTTCCAAAGTTAAATTTGTTTGATCCTTTCCATCTGAAACACACAATAAAGACAGACACCTCAATGCCAGTGTGTCAGAATGAGATCACAAATTTACTACTTCCTCCAGCGAACAACCACTTGGAAACACATTTAATCCACAGAACAAATCAAGGTAATTAGTTCAGTATGAACTAATTTCACAGACTTGCTGAAAATGGATTGTCAGGTATGTAACAATCCTCTTTCTGCTGCCTGCCTGGCTGTTGTTCTAGTTACCGATGTCCACACTCTTGTTCTCGTTCTGGCTAGCCAAGTTTCTCATGCTACTTTTGTGCTCTGGAGCCAAACCTTAGAATAGGCCAGGCTGCTTTACCATCCTTTGGCAGAGCCCTCCAAATGCCAGTGTATACTTAACGAGGAACTTTGCATCAGACCAATTTTCCAACAAAACATTTTTGGTAGTCAGTGCCTATCAATAGAGAATGGGATGTGCAGAAGGACTGACATTCTCTGCTATAGCTTATTTTTTACAGTTCAAACACATTTCCTAGAGTTAAACAGAGCACAGTTTATAGCAGAGCACCGATATATTTGCCAACTATTAGCAAATTGCCTTGGATTCAGGGGAAATATTATGGCTCCACCCTATATGCTTTCCTACTACCTAGGCTGAGAGCACAGCCTGCTTCCTAACCAGTATGAGCTGCTTCTCTTCTAATCCTTGTCCTATGTCAGTGCCAGGCTGTAAAGTGCTTTGGAATGAAGTTTACTATGTAAATACAGGATATTATGTTACTGTGATTAGTCACCTTATGTAGAAAACAGACTAGTATTTGTGAGAGGAGATATTAAAAAACAAAATGAAAGCCTTCCTGATCGACCTGCAAGTTGATGAAATGAACACAAACAGACACAGTTATCAGGACCAAAATATTCAAGGTACTAATGAATCAACAGTCACGTCCTCATGTTTGCTGCTGTTAACTGTGTTGCAAGGTGTCCCAGGCCTATTCAAATATGTACTTCTCTTCCGATTTCTACAGCTGACCCATTGAGACAAGCTCCACAGTAGCACAGGGAGACCTCAGCTACTGGGAGGACTCTGCAAAACAGGCAGTTCATATCTGGACTGATTCCTATTGTTCTGTATCAAAGCTTTGAAGAAAGTCAATAAAGCTGAAAGAAGGAGGGTGAAAGGCAAGGTATTCCACTGCAACGGGCCATGACGTTATTAATATTAACAGAAGTGATATTGTAGAACAAACACAAGGCTTACACAGGTTGTCAAGGGAAGCTGTGTCTCTGTTTTCCTCCTCCTCTCTCGCCCGTTTGTTAACTATATGAAAAGCAACTACAATAGAAAAGAGTTGCTCATACAGCTGTCCTGGTATAACTATACTAACAATGATGGTAACCTTCATGCAGGTAGAGCAAACCTCACTTTTACCAAACAACTTTGATTAATTCCTCAAGGGAAATATCCCATACTGACAAAAGCACCTTGAAGATTGTTTAGAACAACTTTGGTATTTACTGCAAGGCATCCACAGCATTGTTTAAAATTATATCCTGACCCAACTATACTTAATTTTAACGTAGAGCTGGCTCAACAACCCAGAAAATGTACAGAAAATCCTCCTATGAATTTACAGGAAGAGCCTAAAGAATCAGTGCAGTTGTCTATACTCTGCCCAGCTTTGGGACAGGGCTGGCAGGAAACATATCTGAGAACTGGTTTCAATAGAAAGCTAGGAAAGGGAGCAGGTGAGCAAATTCTTTCCAAATAAACAGCTCCTAGCGAGCTTTTGAGAACTTTATATTCTTATCTTGTTAAAACAAACAAACAAACAAACAAACCCCCCAAACACCAAAGGCCCACTCTCTCAGCAAGGGAACAGAAAATACCGTCTGTCTTCAAGAAGAATTTAGGCATTCCATAGTCATGATGTACTAGGCTTATAAATATTGTCATTCTTAGTGCATCAAAGATAATGTAAAAGATTTGTGGTAGTGTCATATTAGCCAACTACATTTCTGAGTGTGAGATAACCCAGTAAATATGCATTTTTCAATATGCTATCTCTTTTTTGCTCACTTGTTTGTTTCTGTTGAACCATAATGTTTAAAAAAAATCACAAAAATTTTGCAAATCTGTTTAACACCACTGCTTTTTGAACAGCATCACTCAGGAATTCCAAGCCTAATGAGTCTCGGATTTTGTAAAGCAGCTGGCCATAGGTTTCAACTACAGGACATTATAGCTTTTTTTCTGGTTTTCAGTAAGGTCCATTTTCCACCAAGCAGGGTTTGTATAGAAAGCTTAGACGCAAGTTTAGCTGAAGAATGATACCACCCACCCATAATCACAAATTATAAAGCTTGACATAGCTTTTTAACACCATTTTTCTAGAATAACTGCTAGTTACTAATAAGTATTGAATATTTCCCATTGATTTTGTGTGGAATAGCATTACCCACTTGTACCCTTACCCGAGGCAGGCTGATGCTACATAGAACTGTTTCGATTTCTACATAGGCTCTGATTCAGTCTTTTTTATTTTCTTCAAGTGATTCAACTGGTGGAACTGGCCTAAATGATTATAGGTAAGCACGTGTAACCCTTTCATGGAGCTAGAAGCCATTGCAAAGTTATTTACAGTGTCTTTATGCAAACGAACTTCAGTTTGAGATAAGTCTGGGAGAAGTTTGAGGGGGATTTCCCTGCTTTATGTAATCTATTGTTGCTTCTTAGCAGCTTCCTCTATTCACATGGCCAGGAGGCATAAGTATGACACCACTGGTAATTTCTCAAACTCAATCTGAAAGCAAAGACAATGTACTCAGTGACCGACAGTCTTGCAGCTTTCGGTAAATCCTCAGACTCTGGCTCAATGATATCTGGAATACAGGAGACCTGAAGGAGCAGGGCGGGCAATAACTGAGATGGAAAGGGCTTCACTTACTGGCATACTTTGAAAGTGGTCAGCAGCCAGGAAGACCTATGTGCTACCCCTCAGCTATAACTCTGGCTGCCCAGAGCTCCAGTTTTACATTTCTGGGTGCATGCAGAACGCTGCACCTCGCACAGCTCAGTACCAGACCCCTGCAGATCGCACTGCGAGCACACGGCTGTGGCTGCCTTCCCTGGCCCTTCCCAGGCGGGAGGTCAGGCACAAAACTCATCCTACCATCTCCTCAGGTGGATGGAGTCCCAGTGAAAGCATTCGCTGAAATGACAGGCCAAACAGGCAGAAGCCTTCAAGAAGAAACACCCTGCCTGCTCACGGAGAGCTCTGTGCTGCTAAGGCCAGGCTGCTTCTTACACCCAGGTGAGCATCCTTCCCAGTGCATCCTGCTGTACAGATTGCGGTGTTATTGTTCCAAATGGGAAGATTTCTGATTTAGCAACTATCCAGATTCTGAGAAACACGCTTACCGAAAACCACAGCTAAGGGAAATACGGCAGGTGAAGTAAGCATGGTGGCACTGAGGAGGAAGGAAATCGCCCTGCAGCGCACTGATAAGAGTGTGCTTGATATATACTGTGTTCAGCCTGGACAAGCTGCAACCAGGAAAACAGGGTAGTTGAAGGAAATTCAGCTCGGAGGCCCTAGGGACTTAATCAGTCTGTTAAAATGCTTTGTTGGTTTTATGTATCGCTACTTAATTAGGATGCTTAACCAACACATTGGAAAGATAGTAACTGTTAAATATTCAACAAGCTGAACTTTCAGTTACAATATGACAATTCTGAATAAAGTTCATGGAAAGCCTGTCCTTCCTAGGTACTCCAACAAAGCCAAAAGGAACTGGACAGGACAAAAAAAAAAAAAGAAAATAGTAAAGAAAAAAAAAAAAAAAAAAAAAAAAAGAAAAAGAAAAAGTAGGGCACAATTGTGGAGAACTGGTTAAAAATCCAAGTCTTGCCACAGGCTAATTCAATGATCCTGGGCAAGTTGTTTCCTGCCCTGTGCCTGAGTTTTTCCCATCTGTAAAAAGAGCACAACAATGTTGACCTTTCTTGTAAATCGCTGAGATGAATGGCTAGAAAAGCAGTACTACATTATTAATTACTTATTATTATTTCTGAGGAAGAAAAAGGAAAGAGAAGAAACCATCAATCTTTCAGGATTTTCTTGATCCTCATAAAAAATAAAAAAGCACCATGTAACATGAATTTCACAAAACAGAAACTTTTGGCGAGCCACCTTTAGGAAGAAATAGTGGGTGCACAATTAAAAGAAAGTTAAAAAAGGGCAGACACTCAGGAAAACACTCCGGATGGTGAAATGAGTTAGGCTGCAGAGCAGGCTCCCACAGGAAGCGGTGAAACCCCCATTGTTTGAGACATGTGAAACTGAATTCTTCAAAGTGCTGGTATATATAATACAAGGAACCGTTCTGTGCTGCCTCGAAAGGCAGCAGCACTGGGATGACCTGTGAGAGCTACACCTTCCATTTCTATAAGTTGAAGAGGATTCTTGCTGCTCTGACTACAAAGAGCTGTAGACTCTCTTCTTATCAATACAGTATCTGAGGAACATCTACTGGGGAGTAACTACATTGTGTTTTTGCAGGAGATAGATTCAGCAACCCTTAATTATCTTTCCCCTTCCCACTTCTGAGATTTGAACTTTGTACATCCAAGAGGGGAAGGAAAGCCCCCTATTCTCTGAGAATTACAGTGTGCATCCCACAGACAGAGTGTTTACTTCCCGAGTTACAACCCAATGAAAAACTGGGTGGCTTGATTTTTACAAGCAGTGTTTTGCAGAAGAAATGCCATGATTTTAATGGGAACCAAATGAGCGATCATTACGTAAATGGCATTATGAGACACAGAACTGATGTTGAAACGTTAAATGCCCTGGGTCAAACTCACCAAAATGGGAACTGGCAGTGGCATGCTGGAACATTTGGGCTTCTCCACACTCAGATACTACTGCAAACATTTTCTGCTGCTGCTAATGCTGGTTCAGCTCCTCTGGAGGTAGCTGTGGAGGGAGTCTGACTGCTTCTGTTGTTACTGGCACTTAAAGTCTTAAGACCTT